GACCAGCCGGGTGTGGGGCGGGGCGGGGAGGCCACGTGGGCCGCGCGGAGAACGTGCCAGGCTCATCACCTGGATGATCGTGCCTCAGTTTCCTCCTCGGCAAATGGGGCTTCAGCGGCTCGCTACGCACATTGATGGAGCGTATGTCCAGGCGCCGGTGCACCGCAAGGAGCGAAATAGACACAGCCGCTGCTCCTAGGGCTTACGCCCCGGGGCGAAGAGGATCCTCCGCAAACGATCAGGTAAACACATGGATGTCAGGAAAGTCTCCCTGCTGGGAGACCGCCAAAGTGACCCGAGATGGAGTCCAGGTGGTCTGCTTATTAGGGGGCACACCCATGCTAGGACGGGAGGGGAGGGAGCAGCAGAACTGGGCAAAGGAAGAAGCTGAGCCACAGTGCGAGCCGGACGTACGGGCCACATTGCGAGGGCATGACCTGGGGCGAGGCAGACCTGGAGGTGGGGGCAGCTGAAGGTGTCTGCTGACCCCACACCCAACAGCTCGGGTAACAGACCTTACTTACGGGCAGAGCGATCTGGTTACCACGTCTCTGTGGCCCTCAGAGAGACATCATGTTTTATTTTTAACCTGCACCTTTTTGTTTTGAAAAATGTTCAGCATACAAACAAGTTGAACGTAAAGTGAACACGCAGATTCCTGGATCCACCAGGGGTGAGCAGGTGACCACGTTTCATGTCTCTCCCTCTCTCTTTATATATGTGTATTTTTCTTTTTTCTCCCCACTCAGTCCCCACCGTTAGCTGCAGATACCATGATACTCCCCTCCCAAATACTTCGGTATCCAACTCTGTAAGAACGAGAACTTTCTCCTATATTACCAAAATACAGTGACCACATCAGTTCAATGCTATTATCTATTCTCCATCTCCAGTTTCCCCCGGTTGTCCCAATAATGCCCTTTACAGCCCTTTTGTTATTGTTGTTTTGTTTTGCTTTTTTGAGACGGGGTCTCTGTCACACAGGCTGGAGTGTAGTGGCACGATCAATCGCAGCTCACTGCAGCCTTGAACTGCTGGGCTCAAGCAATTCTCTTGCCTCACCCTCCTGAGTAGCTGGGACTACAGGAGCACACTTTTTTTTTTTTGGTAAAGACGTGGGTCTCACTATGTTACCCAAGCTGGTCTCGAACTCCTGGGCTCAAGCGATCCGCCCATCTTGGCCTCACACAATCCTGGGACAACAGGTGTGAAGCCCTGCCCTACAGTCCTTTTTTAAACCCCAGGATCTAATGAGGGAGCCACACTGTGCATTCAGGCTATGCACTTTTTTTGGCAGGATAATATACTAGAGCATGTTTTATCTTGTCAGAAGGCTGTCAACCTGAAATAACCAAACGGGTCAGAATTTAGCTTAAAGAGAGTTTATTTAAGTGTATAAAGTTTGAGGACAGGCTGCCTGGGAAGCACAGATTTTAAAGAACGGAAATCAGTGTTTCAAAGTGTAGATGTTTGGGATCATTTATGTAGACAAATTTTAGGGAAATTTAACAGAATTTTAACTTTTTTATGCATAAAGTTATAATCTGACAAATTGAGGTGGTATTTTTTGGAGAGAAGGTATATTTAACATTTTACACTGAAGATGTAGGAGTCTGGTCTGAGTTAAGTATGGGATAATAAGAGACAATATAATAAAGATCAGTAATTAAAAGGGGAGGAGGCCTGGTCTGTGGTCTCTCCTAGAAAAACGTTTTAGAAAAACGTTAGCCTCTAATCTAAAAGACAAAATTACAAACATGCTGCGTGACCCAGTTTCTAGGACTTCCCTCTTGACATAATAAATTTATTTATTTTTATTTATTTAAAGACAAGATCTTGCTCTGTTGCCCAGGTTGACATAATAAATTTCGAGAGTCCTAAACTTTTCTTTTTTAAGACAACACATCACTGTGCTCCATGATAAATAGTGGGGTTCAGTGGTTAGTGCCAGAAGTCTCCATTTTTCCTTTTGTTATTTATGAGTAATTGGAGCAGTGATACTTTGAGACTGTAAATATGCTATTCCCGAATTACCTTTCACCCTAGCATTTAATGAGGACTCTTGCCTGAATCCCTTATTTCTTGGGACAAAGTGTTAATTTTCTAATTTTATCATTCCCTCAACTTTGATTAATAAATTATTTATTAGCAAGCATTCTTCTGTAGAGATTTCCTCTTTAATTTTTTTTTTTCTCAGTATGCCCTAATGGATTGAACTGGCTGAGTTATGATCCTTACTGTATTGTCCTGTCTTTGGCTAATGGGAGCCCCTTCAAATTGGCTTCTTTTTTCAAATGACATGTCCCTACCATCCTTTGAGTACTTACTTATTTTCTGGGACAACCAGATATTCAAGGATCCTCCCCTTCTCTGCCCAGGCCTGGTGTCAGCCATTGTTGGCAGGAGATCATTTGAGCAGATTGTGTGGATTTCAGAGGCATGAAAACTACTGTGAGGATTAAATAAGTTAGCATGTATAACATTCTTGTGCTTTTGTGGAGTTTCCAAATTGTCATGAACAAGCATTACTCTATAGGCAGTGAAAAAGTGATTAAAAATGGGAAAATGAGTGTATGTACATAAGCTAAAAATAAAATCCTAAGCCCCCTATTGACCAAAGGGACCTTCTCTTGACCAAGGGGACACCAGAAAAACCTTAACACTGAGTTCCCAGACATGACGGGATGAGAGGTCAGACATGCCTGGTAATAGCCCCCTGTTTTAGAGTTTGGACAGCACAACTGGCCAGCATTCATGTTAAAACAGAGATCGTAAGACTGATAGAATGGACTCTGTGGCAATATGATACCAAATTATAAACAGGACCTGAAGCCATGCTAGGCAAGGGTAAGTCAGGCACCCCACACTTAGAGGGTAAACAATGTTCTAACGGCCACAAGGCTTTCTATATCTCTATTAGCCAAACACTGGCCTTGGGATAGGCAATATTAAAACAATTGCAGCTCCATGTGCTGACTAACTCACCCTGTTTCACCAGCCATAACAGCTGTGATTGGACAAGAGACTGATTTCAGTGACTTTCTCCTGATAAGAGACCACCGACCAGCTGACCCCGCCGACCAGCTGACCCGTTTATAGAGATGATGCACCTGCATGCCTTTGTGTCCTGAAAAGATCTTTTGCCATAAAGGCCCTAATTGTAAGACATGTAAATGTTAAGTCTCCATCCCAAAGTGAACATGAGTCATATATTACATGCTTTGCTCAAAAACAGGGCATGTGTCAGGACCACCTTCATGAATATTCATAGCTCCTCCTCTAACCTGTTAAATATGTATGTTTAGTCAATCCCTTCAGCATAGAGCTCCTGCCCCAAACTCTCCTCCTTGGAAGTGCCTGTCTCTGGCCTTGGCTGGAGACAGATTCCTGGCGCCGCCACCTTGCAGGCTACAACCCTTTACAACAAATAAAGCCTCCTCTTTTTCCAAATTTGTAAATTGTGTGTTTTTAAACTAACATGAATGACAGAAGGAAGGATGGCCTCTTAGAACGAGGATGGTGAGGCAGTCATTTATATGGGGGAAACATGGATTCTACCCTGGGTGGACTAAAGAGGAAATGTGAAAAAATAAAAAGTGAGAAACTGCTGATAGTGAATCGGTGCAAGCGCCCTGGAGAAGAGACTTGGCAATATTTAGGAAAGTCCAACAGCACGAATCCTACTACTCCGCAAAGCTGCTGCAGGAACTGGCGGAAAGAGGCCACTAAGGAAACCTTGCGGGAAAGGAAATTGCAGCAGTGCGTGTGTGCGTGCGTCTGTTGGCAAAACGCTGCTAATAACTTCAATGCCCATCCGCTATTGAATAAACCTGCTTTATTCCTACAATGGAATACCAAACTGCAGAAAAATAATTAAAAGAACGTATCTCGTGTTACAGGGGAAAAAATCAAGTTGCAGAAGCACATTAAAGTGCAGTTCGTGTAGTTTCAGAAAAGGCAAGCAGCGCGCTACCTGCGCTGCTTACACACGTGGTACAGGAGTGAAAGGGGCAGGAGAGGGTTCCCAGGAATTCAATGCCATCTGCCCAGGGAGGCGGGATTCCCAGCACGGAGAAACGATTGCTGCGGTCTGCCGTCCCGCGGGCACGATGGAGCGCTCCTACCGTACTCTGTAGTGTTGGTGTATTTGGAACGTTTAAAATAAAACATGGCTAAGCTGGTTGTGGGGTGGCGGTCTGGGATAAAATGGAGGGGAGCTGCAGCTGGGCGGTGAGCTCCCCCGCACCTGTGCGACTGGACAGGTTTGCCCGCGAGGGCGGGGGCGGGGCCGGGGCCCGGGGCAGGGGTGGAGCCGGGGCGGGGGCGGGGCCCTTCACGGGGCAACGAACTCGGCGGCCACCTCGCTGCGCAGGCGCGGTCGTGAGCGCCGCAGACGGGGCGGAGCGATCCGTAGGCAGGGCCTGACGCCGCAGTTCTGCTTGGCCGGAGCCTCAACGGATGGGCGGGGAGGGGGCGGGGCCGGGGAACCCGGAAGGTCCGGCGCCCGAGCACCCTGTCTCGCTGGGACCCGGGTCTTGCTGTCCCCCGCTGGCCTCCTGCCCGGGCGACTGCAGCCAGGATGGGCCGGAAGGTGACCGTGGCCACCTGCGCACTCAACCAGTGGGCCCTGGACTTCGAGGGCAATTTGCAAAGGATTTTAAAGAGTGAGTCTGGGGCGGCGGGGGCACTGTGGCTAGGCCCAGGCTTGCCCGTGGCGCGCTCACAGCTTTGCCCTGGGCAACTCGCGGCCCTGGGCATGGGATCAGGTGAGATAATGGGTAATGACCCCGCCAGTGGTACGTGCTCAGGTCCTCCTCGGGAAGTGAGTGTTTACAGTTCGTGGGGACAAGCGATATACAAGGCACGGTTAAGAAAAGTCTGGCGGTTTAGGCGGGAGGCCTGGGGATGGACCCGTATTCTGATATCTCTGGGGTCCAGTGGCTGGGGCTGAGCTGCCCATCCTCGGAGGTATGTAAGTTGGACGGAATGGCTGCCCCCTGGCGGGTATGGTGTGCAGAGACCAGAGATTGACGGTCTGGGTCCCCGTGGACCTTCCTGGTGGGTGGGCATTGGGAGAAGGCGTCCCAGAAAGGGAAGTAGAAAAAGACGCCTGTCATCCCAGCACTTTGGGCGGGGAGGGGGCAGGGAATCACCTGAGGTCAGGAGTTCAAGACCAGCCTGGCCAACACGGTGAAACCCCGCCTCTACTAAAATACAAAAATCAGCTGGGCATGGTGGCCTCGAAGATAGGGTGTGGTTGTTGAAAGGTCACCATCTAATTTTCGTTCATATGGACGCACCGTGGAGGATGAAAAGTTAAACTATTACACCTGCACCTAAATGGGCAAGCCTGCAGGTGTAGTCAGGTTGCAGGTTATCTTGCACTGGTCTGCTGACTGCAAGAGCCTTTGCCAGGAGCAATAGAAACAGAATGTTTCAAGAGCTGCCATCTTATCAGCATGTACCCTCGATGATGATGATGATTATCATTATTATTTTGGACATGGACTCTCACTCTGTTGCCCAGGCTGGAGTGCAGTGGTGCCATCTTGGCTCACTGCAGTCTCTGCCTCCTGGACTCAAGCAATTCTCCTGCCTTAGCCTCCTGAGTAGCTGGGATTACAGGCGTCCGCCACCATGCATGGCCAATTTCTGTATTTTTAGTAGAGACGAGGTTTCACCATGTTGGCCAGGCCGGTCTCGAACTCCTGTCCTCAAGTGATCCACCTGCCTTGGCCTCCCAAAGTGCTGGGATTCCAGGCATGAGCCACCGCAGCCAGTGGTTGTTTTGTTTTGTTTTGTTTTTTAATAGCAACCTGCTTTCACCTCATTTGCTCAGAGCAAATCCAGTTGGACTGAAGAAGGCTGGGTGACTAGAGCTAAGTCTACACTCTGCCAGCCTCTCCTCCCTAGGTGCTTGTTGGAAGCTGCTGCCCCAGACCAGTAAGCCGATGGTGCCTGACAGTGGCACCACTGCTGGATCGTAATCCTTCAAGTCCTTTTTCCTCTAGGTAGTGTTGGGCATTTCCTTGTTAATAAACTACCAGGGTGTGACTTCTTCCTCTTCCTCCGCCTCCTCTGTGGTGCTAAGGGTCAGGCCCGCAAACCCTCCCTGTTTCTCATTTTCTGCAGGTATAAGCAGGCATATGCAAGTATAGGCAGGTGCAGGTGTATACAGGTGTATGCTGCCCTCTGCTGCCAGGCTGTCAACAGGAAGCCTGACTGCATCCGGTCTGGGAAGGCACAGAGCATTTTTGTTTGTTGTTTGTATTTTGTTTTTATCCTACCTACTGCAGCAGGTTATTTCATCTGTCTCTGAATGTATAGGTGCTGAAATTGCCCCATTTTCTTTTTCTGTCTGTCTTATAGGTATTGAAATTGCCAAAAACAGAGGAGCAAGATACAGGCTTGGACCAGAGCTGGAAATATGGTGAGAACAGACACAGACACCCTGGGGTGGTCAGCTAGCGATGCCTGCATCAGCTCTCCCCAGCTGAGAAGGCAAGGAAGGAGGAGGGACAGTCCTGAGAGCTGTGGACATGCCACACCTGCTGTTGGGCCTGGTTAATGCCATTGAATACCTGAGCAAGAGCAGGCCCAGGGAGGCTGAGTAAGTCTAGATTCCCATGTTGAGTAATTAAAGGAACTGACTTTTACCGGATTAAGGCCAATTTCAAAGTTGGGCTGCTTCTGTGTTACCACTGCCTTTTTGCTGTGGTCTGAATGTTTGTGTCCCCCCAAAATTCGTATGTTGAAACCTAACCCCCAGGTGATGGTATTAAGAGTTGAAGCCTTTGGCAGGTGATTGGGTCATGAGGGTGGAACCTTCATGAATGGGATTAGTGCCTTTATAAGAGAGCCCCAAAGGAGCTCGTTGGCGCTTCTACCACATGAGGACACAGAAGGAGAGAACCAGCCCTCACCAGGTACCACATCTGCCAGCACCTTGATCATGGGCTTCCCAGCCTCCATGTAAGCAATACATTTCTGTTGCTTATAAATTACCCAGTCCAAGGTGTTTTGTTATAACAGCCTGAGGACCAAGATATCTTTGGTTTTCATTCCGTGATCTCAAAACAAGCATAAGTCATCATTTCTTATATGCCTTTTTGTAAAAATCAGGAAAACTGATTGCTTATTTCCCTTCTTGTCCCTTCTTTAAAAACAAAAACAAAAACAAAAAACAATAAGTAGCCACATTGTAGGTCTCTTGTAAGCGATAGTCCTTTCTCATTTTGGATGTCAGCTGCCATCTGTGCTCAACTAGTTTCCCATTGGTCTTTAGGCCCCTGACCCATTGTGGAATCTGGAAGTCCCTCTTCAGTCTTTGTCTCCTGCCTTAGTGTGTGTTCTTGCTTCTGGACTTAGAGTAAGCAGGAACTGTCTTCTCTTAGGAGGTTTTGTGTGAGTCCAGAGGCATCTTTCTCTAAGTCCTTCCAAGTTCCTTTCCTTTATTAGGTCGATTTCTCTCCTTAGAATCCCACCTTCAAATAGGGCTGTTTCTCCCATAATATCCAAGAATGTTTACTTTGTTCTTTAATTTGTCTTCATTTGATTGATTCTTTAAGAAATTCTTCACCTAAGTGCCAAGGGATCTAGGATTCTGGGTAGTCTGAGGTCACAAAAATTCGATCCTCTCCTGGCCCTGTGGCCGGATCCTCTCCTGGGCCGGACTCAAGGCCTGATCATCTCGTGAGCCTGACCTCTCCTGGGCTGGTCCAGGAGCGTGATCCTTATGTCCTGTCTGCTGCTTGCCCTGGAAGAGCTGCAGTGGTGACAGCCCAGTGCCCCTGGCCTGATGTGGCCCAGATGCTTAGAGTTTAAGTCTTCTTTTCTTTCTTCATCTTAGTCTCTCTCTTCTATAAAAGTTACATCCACCTCTCTCTTTCCTCTAAATATGGACCTGTTTCATTTTGAAAATGGGAGGATGTCTAACTAAAGGCCCCTGGGATGGAATATTTGCATCCAGCAGGGACAGGGGCCCAGCTGAGCAGGGCTCTACATAGCTCACAACCTGCTGAGCAGGTTCCTATGAAATATTCCAACAGTTTACAAAGAGGAAACCGAGGCAGGAGAGGAGGGACGTCACTTCACTGAGCACACCGCCTCTTGTTCTTACTGGTTAGGGGCCCAGCACCTGATACACAGGGAGGGCCCAGTGGCCCTAGAGCAGGCTGACTCGTGGACCAGAGACCCTCTCACCTGGAAAGGTCAGCTGTTTCCTTTGAGTCGGTGCTGGAGGCTTTGGAAAGGGATGGCTGCCACCCAAATAGCCCCGGGCACGGGTTGACCAGCGCCTGCGATAAACTGCTCCTCCAGCTGCTGGCCCGTCGAAGGGGTGAGAGGCCTCTGGTCGCTGGACGCCATGCAGAGGGACGTGTGGTGTTATAATGTTATGTGGTTTCACATGTGGGCCAGGACACCAACAGGGCATGAAAACTCACGAAACAGGGATCCGTTGGAGGAGAACGGACATCTCAGGACTCCGTTGCCTACTGGGGCATCTCCTGGATACCGTTTGTATCTGAGAACTGGGCTTTTCCTCTTAGCAGAGCCAGCACAGAGAGCAGTGCTTTCCCAGATACTAAAAATCATAATTGCCGGTTCTGGGGTTTATGCGAGCGTGTGTGAGGTTTGCTGGGCATTTAAAGTGTGCCTTCCAGGCTGATGGCGTAGTAGAAAGGAGAACTTCTTGAAGAGTTATAAGTGTTCTACAAATGCTCTATATTGTATTATGGGAACCCCAATAGTAAGCAACCCAGCCTTCACATTTAATGACACCACGGATTATTGAATTCCTGCGGATGCCGAAACAGAAACAAACTAGAGACTTAAAGCAACAGAAATGTATTCTCTCACAGTTCAGGAAGCCAGAAGTCCAAAATCAGGATGGCAGCAGGGCCTGCCTCCCTCCAAAGGCTCTTGGGGAGGGTCCCTCCTGCCTTTCCCAGCTCCTGGTGGTTCCAGGTGCTCCTTGGCTTGTGGCCTCCATGCTCCCATCTCTGCCTCCGTCCTCACGCTGCCTCCTTCTGTTCTCCCTGTCTCTCCTTTCCTTTCTCTTACAAGGACACTTGTCACTGGACTTAGGCCCACCTGCAAAAGCCTGGGTGATCTCGTCTTGGGATACTTAATTTCGTTACATCAGCAGACTCTTTTTCTAAGATAAGGTTGCATTTGTAGGTTTCTAAGGTTGGGATGTGGACAGACCTTTTTACCTTCATTCAGCCGACTACAAACATCTATAGCAAGAAACTCAGGGGTAGCTTTGTGGGTGGTGTTTCTGAATGGTTATTAGTGATCTTTGCCAAAGAATGGATTTCTGTGGGTCCAGCTTTGTTTCTTTGGGGTTCTTCTCTTGTCGATCAGTGTCATTTGGGCCACATTAATGGTTAAAAGGAAACCCAAGGACAGGCGCTTCCTGATATGAGAGATTTTTTGTAGTAACTTAAAACTCAGAGAGAGGAGCAGGGGCCATGCTCTATCACGTTCAGTAAAGCACATCGTGCTGGGGCGGTGGGTCTTATGCTGGATGCTCACTGCAATCACCTGGAAGGCTTTGAGAAAACACCTGAGCCCCGGCCCCCAGACACGTTCAGACTGGACGGGCCCACAGGCCCTGCCCCAGCCCGCTCACCTGAATTGTTGCTGGAGCTCACCCTCTCACTCTCTCTGCAGCGGCTACGGATGCTGGGATCATTATTACGAGTCGGACACCCTCTTGCACTCGTTTCAAGTCCTGGCAGCCCTTCTGGAGTCTCCCGTCACTCAGGACATCATCTGCGACGTGGGGATGTAAGTGCCAGTGTGAGTGTGGAAGGGCAAGCCCGGGACAAAGGCAGGCTCAAGGGCATGACCCACCCAACCAGCCTCCATCCAGGGTGTGGAACGTCCACGTGTCCAGGGATACCAGAGGCCTTATGCTTGAAAAGTGGGTTTTGTTCCTATCTCAGCCCCGTACGCCACCTCATTTCCCCTGCAAGGAGGTAGCTCCCGGAAGCAGGATGTGTCAGTTCTTCCGGAAAGTCCCGTGCACACATCAGCAGACTCCACACAAAGGGGAATGCAGCGTTCACCCCACTGCATGCAGAGAGCTTGACTCACATCATGGGGAGCCCCGGGGCTCATTCCATGTCCGCATGTCGCCACGTGGTTCCCATGGCCTAGGCTGCATATGTGTAGCTCCACAAGGAGGGCCTCTGCATGCGCTGTGCTAGTGTCTGTGCTGTGCTCTGCATAGCCGGTCCCTATGGAGGCCTCTGCATGCCCCATGCTGGTGTCTGTGCTGTGCCCTGCATAGCCGGTCCCTATGGAAGCCTCTGCACATGCTGTGCTAGTGTCTGAGCCCTGCTTTGCATAGCGGGTTCCCTATGGAGTATGCTGTACTGGTGTCTGTGCTGCACTCTGCATAGCTAGTACCCTATGGAGGCCTCTGCATGCACCATGCTGGTGTCTGTGCTGTGCCCTGCATAGCC